CCACAGTCGACTACGTGGGAGTCCAGCGACATAGCCATTACGCTAACTACTGATTCCCGGGCTTCTCTCTTAAAAAGACTTGAGAACAGCTTCCTGGGGTGTATTTACATTCTACTTATTCAGAGTTAACTGGGAGAATTTTCTTTGGTCAAAAAAGCTAGTCCTCAGGAGTGCACACTCCCACACACCTGTGCCACTGCCCCTGCAGCCTGGCTGTTAGAAGGTCTACGACCAGAGTCCTCTGAGCGGAAATGACCTCATGGCAGTCAGCTTTGTTTTACTGAACCCACAATATGCGGTCACAGGAGAAAGCAAACGTTCCACGGTGAATTCTCTCCCCGTTTCGTTCCTGCCTCCTTGCTAGTGAGTACATCTGGTGGCCTGTGCGAGGAGGACTGAGTGTGGTGTGCAGTGGGCTCCCCTTGTCTTTGTAGGGCCTCCTTCTCTCATTAGCGACTTGTCAGCAGGTGGTTGTTCACACTGCGGCTCCTTCCTCTATCCGGAAGCTCAGAGCTGCTAACAGAAGCAAAGCCACTCACGGCTCTGGTATGCGCCCGGGAGACTCCAGTCCCGTTCTGTCTGTCCACCTGTCTTGGCAGTCTTCTCTTTAAGCAGAGGCTTAGCTGAAGATAATGAGTGTTTATTACTTAATCCCTTCCCAGTTCCAACTTGCTTTCTTCTCATTATCTCTAGGTGTTTATTAATTAGAATTACACCGACTTCGTTAGAACTGGGGCTGGATTTTAGGTATAAGGCAACATTTTTTTAAGAATTATTTTATTTAACTTTATTCATTTATCTATTTTAATTTGTCCAGAGAGGGACAGAGAGAGAGAGAGAAAGGGGGTGGGGGAGTGAGAAAGCAAGCCACCAGGTCCAGGACTCAAACTGTGGTCGGCCGTATGGGAGTCCAGCACCCTTAACCACCACGCCGCCGGCCAGCCCAAAGGCAACTTTTTAATAAATGTTTTTAAGTGCATTAATAGAAAGCTGCCTCAGTTCTGGGGATCATCTAAGGAAAGGAGGCCTTTTAACAACAGCAGAACTATTGCTGAGGTTTTACCTACCCCCCAGAGCAGTATCTCCAAGGAGGTGCAGGACAGAAGGGCAAGGGGGGGACTGCGTCTTTGATTTTACAGACCTCAAAGTCGGTGAAGATGCCGCGGAACCCTGCTTTTACCTGTGTCTTGTTTTCCATCTTTTCTTTACCTTTTTCTAACTTGGAACTGGGGACCTGATCGACATGCAAGCACAGTATTTTCTGTGTTCCACCTGCCTCGATGCGTGTCTTGTAGAACTAGTTGCTTCCTGATGGTTAATGTGGATACAGGCTAGAGAAGGGAGGTCTAAGATTACGAGGGGGATGATAGCCTGTGGAAAGGCGGCGAGAAGCCTCCTGTGGCTTTTCTGGCCGGGTTGTCACCAGCGTCATCACCCGAGGGTGGCCAGTTTCTGCGAATGAAAACAGAACATGCAGTTAAACGCTAATGGGATATGCTTGTCCTGAGAAATGATAGATTGTCTATCTGGAGCCCACATTCAGGCTGGGCATCGTACAGTCTCCTCTTGTGCTCCACAGATTCCCATCTGGTTCCTCTAGTGAGTAAGGGTGGTGTTCGGAGGGTCAGTGTCTGGGCGCAGAGCTGAGGTTTATGGCTTATGTACTTAGATTCTGTTTGCCCGGCAGGTGCAAGTCCACAGAGGTGTAAATTCAGTCTGCCTCAGCGTGTCAGGGCTCAGCGTCAGAGACTGACCCTGTGCTGGGAGGAGAACAGGGCTGCAGGGCGGTGGGGGCGGGAGTGGAGAGGGTAGGAAGGAGACAGGAGGAGAGAACTGTGCGAGCTCGTAGGCTCCAGTGTGTTTCTTTCTTTTTCTTTTTTCCCTTTATTTTTAGCTTTGCTGTAAGCATGTGTACCGGAGAGAGGCCGAGAGATAGAGGTAATATGGCCACACCACAGTCCCTTCTCCGTTCTCCTCTCAGATTTTGGGCATGCACACACTCACACATACCTGATGTGGCCTTCCAGCTGCCAGGTCCAGGGCTTGAACTATGCAGTCGGCCTTGTGGGATCCAGCCTCCTTAACCACTGCCCACCGGCTGGCCCCAGTATAATTTTTAATAGCTTAGTAGATTGTCATCTTTTCACTAACTCTTTAGGGGAGAGAAAGGATGGGAATTCCATCAGCGCACAGCTCTGTGAAGGTGAAGGTGATCAGAATATTTGACCTGCTGCTTTTAGCTCAGTCTCTCATGAAGACTTTTTTTTCTCTTTTTTTGAGAGGTTTTTGCTGTAGGGGTTGTGTGCTTGCCAGAAAGACAGAGAGACAGCGAGAAATCACCCCAGGGGGGTATGGCCACTCTGCAATCCCTTCTCCTCTCGGAATCTTGGGGTCACTTACATGCGCCCAGTGTGAGTTTAAGCCACCGGGTCCAGGACTTGAACCGCGGTCGACTACGTGGGAGTCCAGCGACATAGCCATTATGCTCACTGGTCCCTCTCATGAAGGCTTTGAACAAAGCTGTTTTCAGAAAGCAAGGGCTAGGCCTCAGGTTGATGGAGAATGAAGATTATCTAGAATATTCAGAAATATGGTACTTCTGGGGAGATTGTGGATGAGGAAGGATAGGAGATGGGATGATGGAAGAGAGGAAGAGAGCAAGCTTGGACAGTTAGAACCCAAGGAAGGGCAGATACTTGGGGATGGGGCCAGCAAGTGGTGTGGTGGTTTAAGCACTGACCTTCTACCTGGCCAACCACAGTTCAAGTCCTGGACCTGGCCGCTTGCTTTCTCAATTTCCTTCTCTCTCTCTCCTCTGTCTCTGGTGAGCGCATGTGTCCTATAGTGAATTAAGTAATAATAATTGTAAGAAATTTAAAAAAACATAGTTGGTGGGGGTGTTCAGTAACCAAACATAAAGTCTTTTTTTTTTAATAATTACTTATTCAATTTTATTTATTCATTCATTTTTAATTTGACCAGAGAGAGACAGAGATAAAGAGAGAGAAAGGGAAAGTGAGAAAACAAGCCACGGGGTCGGGGACTCGAACCCTGGTTGACCATGTGGGACTATCCAGCGCCTTAACCACCATGCCACTTGCTGGTCCCCCAAGCATAAAGTCTTACTCCTAGAATTCATCTTTTAATGTTCTAATAATTATTTTAAAAATCTCCCCTTCACCCCCAGTGGGCACATGCACTTGCCAAAGAGACACAGAGATATATAGAGGGAAAGTGAGAAAGCACCCCTGTGGAAAATGGTCACACTGCAGCTTTTTTCTCCTCCTTTTCTCCCTCCTTTTGGGAGTCTGGGCAAGCACACACATTCCCGGTGTGTTTCTCAAGCCACTAGGTCTGGGGTTCAGACTGCACAGTCAGCCATGTGGGACCCGACCACCTTAACCATCACACCACTGGCTGGCCCAGTTTTTGTTTTTATTATTAAAAATTTCATGGGGGGGGACCAGCAGGTGGTGTGGTGGTTAAGGTGCTGGACACTCCCACAGGGCCAACCAGGGTTCGAGTCCCCGACCTGGCGGCTTCCTTTATCCCTTTCTCTGTCTCTCTCTGTGTCTCTCTCTGGTCAAATTAAAATAAATGAATGAATAAATAAAATTAAATAAATAATAATTTTTAAAAATTTTCATTGGAGACCAGCAGATGGCATAATGGTTACATTGCTGGACTCCCACATGGCCACTGTGGTTCGAGTCCCAGATCCAGAGACTTCAAACTCACATCGGGCACATGTGCGTGCATGCCCAAGATACCAAGAGGAGACTGGAGGAGAAGGGATAGCGGTGCGGCCATCCCCCGGGGGGTAATTTCTTGCTTTTTGTCTCCGTCTTTCTTTGTCTCTCTGATGAGTGTACACACCCTATAGCAAAAAATCTCTCCAAATTTTTATTTTTATTGTTTCATCACATTGGGAATGCAACTGGGATAATATTCTATACAGAAGTGCCTGGTTGCAGAGGTTTGTCAGAAGTACTGTGAGAAAGTCCTCGGCCGAGATTTATTATGGTCAGTGTCTCAGGTCTAATTTCAGGAATACTTCTCCTTTCAAGTGTTCCGTTTTTCTTCTTTTCACATAGCTCAGTGGGATTCTGCGAATGAGTAGGAAGAGAGCATTTTGTTCTTTTCTCAAGAGGTGTTTCTCAGAGCCATAGCCTCACTTCCATGCAAGCTGGCTCCTGTGGGTGTTCGAACTCTCCTCAGTTCCAAGGCAGAGCTTTGACAACATGAGAAGTTCTTGGCGAGAAGTTGTGCTTTATAGTAGACAGAACCTGAGACGCTCATCTGACCCTCGAACCCGGCAGGCGGTCTCAGCTCAGCCTCTCCCCACGGAGATGCCACGTTGTGCGTGAGGGGAGTGGCAGTTCGGGATCCCGCAGGAGTGGTCTGGAGGGAAAGCAGGTGGTGAGGTCTGAGGTGGTCAGCGTGCCCCGTAGCTTTCCCGTCTGACACTCAGCAACTCATGGGCGAGAATGAGGGGCTAGCAGCTAGCTCGGTGGCCTCGGGCCACGGTAGGTGGCAGGGGAGAAGGTAGTCAGTGGAACCAGTGGTCCGAACGTTGGGGTCACTCTCAAGGCCCCGTGTCTCCCGAGGCTGCCCCTGCACTTCCGAGACCCCCGCTGGGCCTGAGGCTGGGCCACACTAATGAGCTACTTTTGCCCTCCAGCTTCCTCCACTGTATAGCCTGATGTGTTTTGCTACGTGAGTGTGCGCCCTAGGCGTGTCTCCCAGGTCTTGATGCAGTGTCTCATCTTTGCACCTCTCTCACAACTCCTATCAGAGTTTGTTTCTAATGGAAGAGGTTCACATGATAAAGAACAAACCAGCCAGTCCTCACATCAAGATAGAGATGAAAAATGCCACCTTGGCATGGGACTCCTCCCACTCCAGTGTCCAGAACTCGCCCAAGCTGACCCCCAAAATGAAAAAAGACAAGAGGGCTGCCAGGGGCAAGAAGGAGAAGGTGCGGCAGGGGCCAGAAGGGGAAGGGTGCGCCAGCCGCAGCGCACCGAGCACCAGGCGGTGCTGGCGGAGCAGAAGGGCCACCTCCTCCTGGACAGCGACGAGCGGCCCAGTCCTGAAGAGGACGAAGGCAGACACATCCACCTGGGGACCCTTCGCCTGCAGAGGACGCTGTACAACATCGACCTGGACATCGAGGAGGTACCTCCCGCCCCTCCCCACCCCCGCCCCTCCCCGTGCTGGTCTGCTCTGGCAAGAACAGGCGGCCCTTGTCATTGGCGCCTGGTAGCTCTGAGCGATGGCGAGCTAGCCAGCAGGCCGCCGGCTCTGGGCGGTGGCAAGCTGGCGAGCTAGCGAGCAGGCAGCTGGCTCT